GGCCCTCCTCCCCTTTGGTGACCATCTGTTTGTTCTCTGCAGTTACGAGTCTATTTCTTGGTCTCTCTCTCTCTCTCTCCCCATGCTTGTTGTTTTGTTTCTTAAGTTCCACATAATGCATGAAATCATATGGTAATTGTCTTTCTCTGATGATCTATTTGGCTTAGCATTAAACTCTAGCTCCATCCATGTCCTTGCAAATGGCAGGATTTCATTCTTCTTGATGGCTGAGTAATATTCCATTAAATATATGTAAACCACATCTTTATCCATTCATCAGTCCACGGACATTTGGGCTTAGTCCATCATTTTGCTATTGTTGATAGTGCTGCTATGAATCTTTTTTATTTAAGTTCATTTTATTTATTTTGAGAGAGAGAGAGAGAGCACGCATGCACACAAATGTTGGAGACGCAGAGAGAGAGCGTGAGAGAGAATCCCAAGCAGGCTCTGTGCTGTCATCCTCCTCCCACGAACCGTGAGATCATGACCTGAACTGAAATCAAGAGTTGGACATTTAACCAGCTGAGCCACCCAGGCACCCCGATAATGATGTTCTAAACATCGGGGTGCATGTGCCCCTTGATTTCTGTATTTTTGTATCTTTGGGGTAAATACCTAGTAGCGCAATTGCTGGATCGTAGGGTAGGTCTATTTTCTAAGTTTTTGAGGAATCTCTGTACTCAAACTGCTGCTTTTAGAGGCTGGCAGAGAACCCCCTCTCTGTGGGTGTCGGCATCAAACCCGCTGGCCACACGTTGGGTCTCTGATGTGCTGCAGGGCGCACTGAGCTCTGTACTTGGTGTGGCCTGGCTGGGCTGATGGCTAAGCCGCCTCGGTCAGGTGGATGTTCATCCTGTGCCGTAACTTCCGCGCCGTTACTTTGCCCTCCTTTTTATCGCCTGCTCCGGATCATTTCCAGAAACACAGGCTACAAGAGTGATATTCAGTATCAGTGGGAAGCCTGGGTCCGGAAGTCTCAATAGTGTTGAGAATCACCAACCTCTGTTGTGTTTCGTATGAATTGTTTCATCCAACCCTCATGTGAACCGTTGAGTTGGGTTCCATTTTGACTTCATTTTCAGATGGGAATATCGAGGCTCAGGATTATATCACAGAACTCCAGGTGTCAAAGGCAGGACACAGTTGTAGGAAGTCTTATTCTGGCCCTGTGGGCTTCACTTCTGTCTGGACAATCCTCAGTGGTGGGGGGTCATGCTGCCTGAAGGCGTGTTCCATTACAGAAACACAGCTTCTCAAACAACGGAGTTTTGTGGATTCTCTGTTCCTGTTTCATGGATTTTCCTGATTCATTTCCTATGTCGTGAATGTCCTGCTTTATCTTTATTATTTCCTTCTTTCTACCAAATTTAGTTTGATGTTTTTTTGCTAGCTTCTTGATTTTCAGGTTTTCTTCTTTTCTAATAACTGCTTTTAAGGCTATAAAGTTTCTTCCGTGCAAAGCTCTAATATATTCCACACAGCTAATATGTCATAGTTTTATTATCAATCAGTTTGAAATTTATTATGATTTCAGTGTTTTGCTTAATTTCCACTAACATGCCCCGTTTGGGGACATTTCGAGTTACTTCAAAAAAAAAACCCTCTGAATTTCTAGCCTAATTTAATGAAAGAACATACTCAATGTTTTAGTCTTGGGAATTTGTTGAGATATGCTTTATGGCTCAGGTGATTTTGCTAAATGTATGTGCTTTTCGAAAGAACGTCAGTTCTGTCGTTGTTGGGTGTAGTAGTTATAGGTATTAATTAGGTTTGTTAATCTTCTGTGGCTTACCTATTATCTGCCTGTTTTATCAGTTGCTGATAAAGAGGAGGTAAAATTTCCCACAGAGGTGGTAAATTTGTCTCTTTTCCTTTTAGCATTGTTAGTTTTGCTTTATGTCATTTAAGTTACATCATTAGGTACAAAAAGTTTGGAACTGACATATATTCTTATCAGATGGGCTCTTTTAACATTAGGGAATGATGCTTCCTTTTTTTCTCTAGCATTGTCTTTGCCTTAAAAAATATACATCATTGAAAAAAATATATGTACATTATTGGGGCGTCTGGGTGGCTCAGTTGGTTGAGCATCTGACTCTTGATCATGATCCCAGGGTCATGATACCAGGGTCGTGGGATCAAGCCCCACATTGGGCTCTGTGCTGAACTTGGAGGCTGCTTAAGATTCTCTCTCACTCTGGGGCACCTGGGTGACTCAGTTGGTTAAGTGTCCAACTTCAGCTCAGGTCATGATCTCATGGTTCACGAGTTTGAGCCCCAAATCGGGCTCTGTGCTGACAGCTCAGAGCCTGGAGCCTGCTTCAGATTCTGTGTCTCCCTCCCTCTCTGCCCCTCTTCTGCTCGAACTTTGTCTCTCTCTCTCTCTCTCAAAAATAAATAAAAAAAATGTAAAAAGAAGATTCTCTCTCTCTCTCTCTGCCTCTCTCCCCACTCTCTCTCTCTCTCTCTCTCAAATACATAAATACATTTGAAAAAATATACATCATTTGTATTGGTATTAATGTTAGTATTTGCTGTAGTCTGAATTCTCAGCTGGGATGTCACTGGGGTTAATTTACTCCTAAGTATTTTATTAATTTTGATGTTATTGTTAATGGACTTGTTTTCTTAATTTCCTTTCATTTTTTAAAAATACTTTGTTTACTTATTTATTTTTAATTTTATTTAAAGTTTATTTATTTATTTTGACAGAGAGAGAGAGAGAGAGAGAGAGAGAGAATGCATGGGGCAGGGACAGAGAGAGAGAGAGAGAGAGAGAGAGAATCCCAAGCTGGCTCCATGCTGTCAGTGCAGAGCCCGATGTGGGGCTAGATCTCACAAACCATGAGATTATGACTTGAGCCGAAGTCAAGAGTCGGGTGCTTAACTGATTGAGCCACTCAGGTGCCCCTAAAGGCTTTATTTTTAAGTAATCCCTATACCTAATGTTGGGCCCGAACTCATAACCCCACAATCAAGAGTCTCATTCTCTACTGACTGAGCAGCAAAGGGACTTTTAATTTCCTTTCCATATTATTCATTGTTAGTGTTTAAAAATGCAACTGATCTTTGCATGTTGATTATGAATCCTACAGCTTTGCTGAGTTTGTTTATTATTTCTACATGTTTTTTGGGTGGATGGGTGGAATATTTAGAATTTTCTATGTATAAGATAATGTCGTCTGCGAACAAGGATAATTTTACTTCTTCCTTTCCTATTTGAATATTTTCTATTTCTTTTTCTTGCCTAATTGCTATGGCTAGGACTTCCAGTACTATGTTGAATAGAAGTGGCCACGTCAGGCTCTGTGCTGACAGCTTGGAGCCTAGAGCTTGCTTCAGATTCTGTCTCTCTCTCTCTCTTTGTCCCCTCCTTCCCCGAAATAAATTAACATTAAAAAAAAGTAAAAAAAAAAAAAAAGAAGAAGAAGAAATGGCAAAAGGGATCTCTCTCTCTCTACTTTTTTTTCTGTCTTTTTTTCTGTCCTTTTTTTCCTTTATGGTATAGTCTGGACAGTTCTCTCTGACTTATTTTCTAGTTCACTGATCCTTTCTTAAGAATGCATTTCATCCACCATTAAGCTTAGTCATTGACTTCTCAATTTCAGTTATTGCAATAAGTTCTAGAGTTTCAATTTGATATTTTTATAAGTTTTATTAAAAAAACATGCCTGATAACTCCAATAATTGGATCTCTTGAGTATCTATTTCTATTGTGTGAATTTCTTCTTTGTATCACTTCTTATGTTTTTTATGTACTTATTTTTCAATGTTTATTTTTGAGAGAAAGAGAGTGAGTGAGCAAGGGGCAGAGAGGGGGGCGGACAGAGGATCCAAAGCAGTCTCTGTGCTGACAGCAGAAAGCCCGATGTGGGGCTCAAACTCAAGAACTGTGAGATCATGACCTGGGCTGAAGTCCACTGAGCCCCCAGGTGCCCCTATGTGCTTGGTTTTGACTCTATTCCAGACATTATGTATTAAAAGTTATGGAGATAATTTGATACTCTGGATGTTTTCCATCCTTCAGATAGGCTTTTTGTTTGTTTGGTTGTTTATTTCAACAGGCAGTTAGAGTGGGGGGCATTTCACCTTAATTCAGCTGGAAGCTGCCTCATTTTTTTTGAAGCCTGGTGTCAGTGTCTGTGAGATCTCACCTGTTTCTCGTCTGTTCTTACTGCTAGAATGTAGACCTTTGAGTTCCCAACATGACGCTGTGGTGTTGACCAAAGACATTGTTTCCTTCCTGGCCCTGAATTCCAATTTCTCTCCTTGTTTTGTGAGACTTTG